TGGCTCCCGGCCTGTGGGTTCTCTCCTGCATGCCCCCCACCCCCGTGTTCACATCTGTCTGTTCCACCCCAGCCCCCAGGATATCTGACATCCTCAACTCAGTGAGGAGGGGCTCAGGGACTCCAGAAGCTGAGGGCCCCCTGCCAGTGGGACCCCCACCCTGCCCATCTCCGACTCTCCCTGGCCCCCTGCCTGCCCCATGTAAGTAAGCCGCTTGGAGGGGCCACAGGGCCAAGGCAGACAGGCTGGCTCAGGCCGTGTGGGGGCCCAGGGTCCCTCTGCTGGAAGCACAGAGAGGAGCCATCTGGTGTCTGAGGGCACAGATCATGGTCTCCGAGCATGTGTTTGTGGGTGTGGGGCTGTGCAGCGCTGCTAACCTGAAGAGTGTGCACCCGCCCCAGGGCTACAGCTGTGTCCTGGAGGGTGAGGGAGCATGCAGGAGTGCAGGTCCAGCCCAGACAGCACGGTGGTAAGAGGGATGCAGTCCTGGCCTTGAGAAGCTCTGGTGTTCTGGACTGACCAGCTGTAGTTCGGGGTGCAGACTTGGGGGGAAGCCAGGGCTCTGGACGGGCGGGAGAGACAGCCAGTATCGCTTTCAGGGATGGATGACATCCCAGGCTGTGGCCGCCACCCCCTTCGGGGGAGACATGGGCTGGGGGTGGCGCTAAGATACTGTCAGAGGAGAGGGTGCCGGGCCAGGGGCTCAGGATGGCGGGGCAGTGTCTGGGTGAGTACAGTGTCTGGGGCCCAGAAGATGGGGTCCATGCTGCAGACCCCGGGGCATGGGCAGCCTCTGGAGCATCCACGGGCCACTGCCATGTTGGAGGTGCTGAGACACCAGGTTCTTGCTGGTAACAGGGACAGCAGCAGAGCCCACAGGGAGGTAGGAAAGGGTGCGCCCAGTCTCAGGAGAGCCAGCACCCACTTTCCAGTGTCCATGTGTCTTATTTCAAGAGGGCCAGGGGGCGTGTGTGCTCTAGGGCAGAGCCTGTGGGGGACACGGCATGACCAGGTCGCCGAGCAGGGTAGACTGCCCATTCAGGGTCTATCCTGAACCTGACAAGGACAATGGAGCTGCAGGAAAGGGACTGTGTGGGTAGAGAGGGGACTTGGCATGGCCATCTTGGAGCTGGGCAGGGTGGGCAGAGGGGAAAGAGACCCATGGAGCTTCAGGAGAGGAGGGCGCACCAGGACCAGCTCCAGCCATGCGGCAGGTGGGTTGTGGGTCCCCCCTTCCCTGAGTCAGTGCTCCACCTCAGGCTCTGCCCTTCCCACCTATGCCCCCTAATCAGGGATTATGCATGACCCCAGGTGATCCCGGCTGATCCCAGCTGATCCCGGCTGATCCTGGCAGCTGCCTGTCTCCCGTGGCCACAGTGGCCCTGAAGGCAGGAACTCTGGGTGGTTGGGGCCAGCACTGCACTGGTCCCCGGGGCCTCCCTAGGCGAACTCCCGCACCCCACCAGGCAGCATGAAGCCAGTTCAGCCCTCCTGGGACCCCCATTCAGCGTTTTCCTAGGAGTTGCTGAGGGCTAGGGGGTACAGCTTGTCCTCGACTCAGCCCCCAGCCTGGCCTGGGTGCCCCTTTGTGCTGGGCTCCCTGCCCCCTCCTTTGTGGGGCACAGATGCCCTACATGCAGTCTGGGAAGACAGAGCAGGGCGTGGGTCACATTGGGGTCACTACAGACAAGAGGTGACCACAGCCACCCATCCCTAACTGCCATGAGCCGGAGACTGTGACTGCTAGGCCTGTTTCCCAGGCTCCAGCTTGGTTGCCACTTCTGACTACTGTGCTTACTTCATGCTGATTTCCATTTTTTAATTACAGTTTGTTTAAAAACACTTATTAGTTCATTAAAAGGAAAATTAGTTCCACTTACCACAGGTGACTGTAGAATGGAAGCCTGCTAGGAATAAAAGCAGTGTCACTCGGTTCTGCCACATTGTGTGTGCTGAGGCTCAGGTGGAGGGGGAGGACAGCTCTGTCTGTTAAAACGGGGCTTCACAAGTGACAGGGATGGGGTACACGCAGAGGGCAGAGGGAGTGGGGTGGGGAGGCGCTGTGAGGGCAGAGAGGCCAGGCCCAATCAGCTCAGCTGTCTCAGGAAAGGGCAGGAGTGGGGGCCCCGAGGGCCAGGGCAGCTGGGGCAGGGGAGGGCACTTCCCCGGGCCTAAAGTGTCAGACGTGGCCCACATCAGGGCGTGATGCTGCGTGTTCGGGGCGGAACGCTGGTAGTATCCCAGTACTGGGCCCTGGTGCAGGGCTGGAGCAGGACTGGGGGAGGGACTCCTGGAGCTCAAAGTCCACCTTCTGGGAGCCATGTGGTTGAGGGCACAGAGTGTCCGCAAGGAAATGGAAATGGCATGATAGCACAGGGTAGCTGGGTTTGGGGAGAGGGACAGCCACACATATTCACACACACAACTGCAGACACACACACTCACAAGCACTACATACATGCACACATGCAGATACATGCACGGTGCTTACGTCCACACTTGTGTGTGCACTACCACGTCATACAGCACATGCCCACATGGTCTGCACACAGTTGTGCACAAGCACACGTGTACTCATATGCATACTCACGCACTCACACATAGATGTACCCACCTCCTCAAGCCCGCCGTCAAGCAGCCCTGCTATGCTGCCTGGGTGCTGTAGACCTCAGAGCAAACGCAGCTTGCCAGTTCCCAGGCAGATGGGCACCTGAAGCAGGTGCATCTCTGCAGTGCACCCAGTTCCCCTCATAGGAGGAGAACTAAGCCATGCAGGTGCTTGAGAGCCCTGTGGAGCTGGAGGGACAGCGAGGGCAGCCCAGTCATAGGGCGCTATTCTCTCTGCTTCTTCCATGCTTGAACTGTTTCACATTTGTAATCAGTTGTCATTAAAGCAGCCAAGGAGGCTTCCAGTGAGGGTCCTGGAGGGCAAAGGCAAGCACTCAGCAAAGCACTGGGCCTGGCCCTGCAGGATGGTTGGGGTGGGAGAGTCTGCAGGGGTGGCCTGTGTCCCGGGCTGGATGTAGGTGGGGACACCACTGGGTGTGGAGAGCCAGGTTGTGGGTGCCAGGGACTACACTTGCTCTTTCCACTGCAGAGCCTGGGCCATCTGGCCCCCAGCCTTTGCTCAGTGGGACCCCCACTTGGGACCCCACAGGCCCGCATGAGCCCGCTGGTGGCTCTCTCTGGCCCTGTGCTGGCCCTTAGTTCAAGAAAGTCTGCTGGCAGCACACGCTCGTTCAAGAAAGGAGGTACAAAGTGAGAAGGGCCCAGGCAGAAGACAGGAGTGGAGGTCATGAGAGTGGTGGGCAGGTCAGGGTGGCCCGTAGGGGGCCAGGGTGGTGGGGACCACAGGCTTTTACCCTTTCTGCATTTTCTAGACATTCTGTAATATGGTAGAGTATTTCTGTCATTTAAAAAATGTCACTGAAGAAAAACAAGACAGAAGCTGTTGGACTTAGAAGTGGAGAGAGAGAACAGGGGATGGGGACAGTCTGGGCACAGGCACCAGGGCCCAGGCCAGGTGGATCCCGTGTCCAGGGAGGGTCGGGCCGGTCCCCATGCTCACTCCCACACGTCCCCGCAGCCCGGAAGCAGGAGATCATCAAGACCACGGAACAGCTCATCGAGGCTGTCAATAACGGTGACTTCGAGGCCTATGCGTGAGTTCCCGGGGCTGGCAGGGCCTGTGCGGGGTGTGGGTGGGGGGTGCGCCCCTCCTCACTCGGGTCTGCCCCCAGGAAAATCTGTGACCCCGGCCTCACCTCCTTTGAGCCCGAAGCTTTGGGCAACCTGGTTGAAGGCATGGACTTCCACAGATTCTACTTTGAGAACCGTGAGTGGGGGCGGGGATGCCAGGCAGGG